ACCTTCCTTTGCCTTATTATTTAAATCTTTCTATTCCTAGTATGTTCAAGGCAGCTAGAGGCAAAATAAAAGTAACCGTTAAAACTCATTAAAAGACAGCTACAATTATCTTTAATCCAATTAGAATCTTCATGAACTCATCTGAAAAGGCCTGGCCAAGAGGCTCTTTGCTTTAAAATGGTGAGTGTAGGCGGCTATTCAGAGAGGACCCTGCATAATTTTAGAGTAATGCAGTAGCTAATCCTCAGAGTCTGAAAATATATTTGGTATATACTTTCTTTATATTCCTATCAGGTTTCTCTTTCTCTACCTCTCTCTTTTTTCTCATATTTTTTCTTTATAAAAGATATTCAGTAATGTGCATAATTTTTGTTTCCCTTGCCAAAATTCAAAGATGAGTCAATTTAAGGAATAGTTTGTTTGACTAAATAAAAAGGGAAGTTGTCAATGAAGTACCTATGAAGCTGAAGTGAAATGCCTGATTTGTAACAAGACAATCTTCTGTCTTTTTACTATGGACTTATGTCTCAAGTCAATTTAAAGGAGATTTCATATGAATAACTCAAACTTAAAAGTGATTTCTCAGGAGGCTGTACCTTTGTGTTCAATGAGGCTTCCTTTGAAATAAAACTGCAAGTAGAATTGCATTATATGTAATAAAAACAACAGGAGTTTTGTGCAAAGTACTAGTTTTTTAAGGCATTTTGCAACATTTTAAAACATGGTTTGTTTTTACCATTGCTATTATTAATTTCAAACCATTCGAGTAAATGCTAAGATTCACTGACTTCAAGAGGTCATTACTGATACCCCCAAGATAAGTATCATTAGTTCTCCTTGCTAAAGAAAGAAATGGATTGGACAGATTTTGCTGGCTGGCAAATTTTGCTTGATTTTTCTTCCATGTTTCCTGGGTTCCGTTTCTCAGTTTGGAGTTCAATAGATGCATAGTTCTTACCCATTCTCCATACAACAGCAGCTCAGGTCTTCCCCATTCGACTGCTCATGTGAAATGCTGCTCCATAATGAATCCAAATTCGTGGTCATATATGTCTTTCGAGATCCACAGAGCAGGGGTGGGTTCTAATTTTTTTTACTACTGGTTCTGTGGGCGTGGCTTATTTTGTGGGCGTGGCTTGATGGTCATGTGACAATTATTTAGGATTTAGCGGAGGTACTGGTCTACCAGCCTTTTAACTGCTTGAAGAGCTGTACCAATCTACCCATTTATTTTTGCAGGCACTGGTCTACCCATTTATTTTTTCAGGCACTGATCTACTCATGTATTTTTGCAGGCACCGGTCTACTCATTTGTTTTCTTTTAACACCGATCAGCTGTAGGGCGGCCCTTTGAAGCCCCGTGGCAAGAGTTTAAACAGCTTTTTCCTTCTAGCTGATCAGCTGGGACTCAGGAGGCAGCAATAGATTGGGGGTGGGGCCAAATAAAAGGTAAGAATAACACGGGGTGGGCGGGGGGGCAGAATCGGTTTGGTGACATAATATCGTCACTGCTACCAACTCGGCGGAACTGGGCTGAACCGGGAGGAACCCACCACTGCGACAGAGGTCTGGTTCTCCTTCACCTGTTTGCTCTCCTGAATGCCTAGGACTGCAGCTACTTTCTTGCAGTGTATCTAAGATGCTTTTCCAAAGTGACAGAAAATAAAAGGAAAAGAGCTAGTGCTAATGTTGTGGAAATATGAGGAACAGCAATTAGGAGAGCACAGGTGGTAGTGAGAGAAGGAACATATAAGTAGTAGGAAGTATTTCCAAGAGCATCTTGCCAAGCGTGTGAGAGGGCCTACATTCCATCTCTAGAGAGGGTTTAAATAGCTTTCTGTCTAAAATCCTGAGAACTTCTGGCAGCAAACAGCTCTGTGAGGAACAAGAAACTTGGCCTGGATTATTTAATTCATAGTGAATACTATGGATCTGCAGTGTACTGAATCATATGGGTATTGACTCTGGATTCAAAAAATACATTGTAAGTAATTAAGGACGAAAAATAACCAAGCTTAATGCTACCAAGCATTACTTTTGTAACTGATCTAGTTTAGCATGGAAGCAAAGCCAGTGTAGAGTCTGTAATATAGACGAGGTTGAGCTTAGAAGTTTGTTTTAACAGAATAACAGAGTTGGAAGGAATTTAGAGGTCTTCTAATCCAACTGCCTGCTCAATCAGGAGGCCCTATTTGACAAATGTCTGTCCAATCTCCTTTTAAAAACCTCCAATGATGCAGCAAGTTATTATTAGGGTTCTGTGTTCTGATTCAAGTGCAATGCAATATTAATCATGGTTTTCTTTTTTCTTTTTTGCTTTAATTTATATGCCGCCCTTCTCCAGAGACTCAGGGCGGCTTACAATGCGTTAAGCAATAGCCTTCATACTTTTGTATATTTATACAAAGTCAGTTTATTGCCCCCACAATCTGGGTCCTCATTTCACCTACCTTTGAAAGGATGGAAGGCTGAGTCAACCTTGAGCCTGGTGATTTTCTGCCAAATTCTACATTATTTGTTCATACAAATAACACAGGTTTTGTTTTGTTTTTTTACTTATGTTTGCCAAATACAGAGATAGAAAGGGAAAGAGTTGCTAGTTCATACTGCTCAATAGCAGAGCTATTCATAAAAATATAAATTATTTATTTATAAAATTGTGTGTGATCTGTTTTCATCTAGTGCAAAACATCCCTACACTGATTTTTAATTCAGCTGAAGATCAGTTGATATCAGTTAGTTAGTAGCCTTTTGAAGATTGCTTATTTTCTACTAGATCAGACGCCTCCCTTTATTTATTTTATTTTAGTAGAAGGAAATCTTTAGTGATAGTTCCCCCTTCCCCACACAGTGACACACACACACACACATTCTATTTCCATGGTAACAATATTTTCCTCATCATTAGATCAGGGGTAGGGACAGAGGGGCTGAGCTGTATCTCTAGCAGCCTATAGCCATTATTGTGAATTGCCATAAAGGGTAGTTTTTCCCACAGCTGTAGAGACACAGATTTCTTTCTCTGCTTTATATACTGATTGAATTTCACACTATTATTTTACATTCGGTTTGAGTTAATTCTTCTTTCCCATTAAAAAAAAAAAAAAAGTAGAACTGACTTTCATTTTTTTTCCCCCTTGAACGAAGAAGAGACTGGACGGCTCTGAGAAAGCTGGGCTGGATTAAACCCAAGAAGAGCTTGTATAGAGACGATTGCAGCCTTATGAATGACTTGATTAATCGGTCAACAAAGAGCACCTGTTTGGTCCATTTCTGCATGCAGCTTGGTTGATTTTCTTATGGATAATGGTAAGAGCCCATAGGAGTTCAGCAACATCGAGCAACATCCAGTTCGTCCTCTCCTGGGTGATTTTTCCAACTAGGGAAAAGATCCGAACAAGAATTACGGTAAAAAAAAAAAAAAAAACAGCACTTGTGTTAAAGCAGGGTTTAAAAGGCAAAGCGATCGAGCAATAGCCAAGATAAATAAATAATACATAAAAAAAAAAAAAGCGGGGAGGGGGGGAATCTAGAGAGATAAATCATCCCACATGAAAGCAAAAGAGGGATGGGGAAGAAGCGTGGGCTAGGCGGCTAAGGCGAACATGTCCTCGCTTGTCGGCTCTGCCAGGCGCTGCAAGCTGCAAAGCGAACGCGCATTCCTCCCAGCCTCTGATGCTCTACTGCCACCTTGGCTAAGCCGAGGGATTTGCAGCGCGGCGGTTCAGACCCCGCGCTCCCGGCTCGGCTCTCTTCCCTTGTCCTTTTCGCGCAGCGGCCGCGCGTATCAGTCCCGTCGTCGTTTCCACGGTCTTGCTAGAAGAGGTTCAACTCGGATTTAAAAAAAAAAAAAAAAACAACTCTCGAGGGCAAAGGGACGATTCCCTCCCGCCCTTCCACAAGGGAAGCTCAGTGAGGGTCCTTCCCATCGCCTGGATCGTCTGCGCTCCCCGCGCCCTCCTTTTCGCCTCCCAAAGCCCCCTTATTGCAAACAGCCTCTTCCTTGCGTCCCGAAGAAACCGCGTTCTTCGCCAAATTGCCTCTCCCGTTTTGTTCTGTTTTTCCAAAGACGAATTTATCTTGAGGAATTCGAAGCTTCCACACCAGCAAATGTACGCACAAGACGAGCGCGCGCGCGGTTACAAACACCTCCCCCCCCCACAACGTAGCCGAGAGGCAAAGCCACCTTCTTGCCTTCGGTTCGAATTAGGCTGGGAAGAGAGACATCGAAAGGAACAAGATGAGGGCCGCAGGGTTTATTACAGCTTGGAAATTCCTCCTGTCTCTGAATTCAGTTGCGACTGAAATGGAGAAAGCTTTTTCCAGTCTCTCCTTGACGTCCAGGCTGGCCAATGAAGTGTATTGTAATTTGGAGCATTGTGATGTAAATGCATTTCTCTCCCCCCCACACACACCTCCTAAACTACTGGCACGTCAAAGCTAACGTGGCCGTACAGTATGTGCAGAGACTGACCAGAAATGGGGTGGGGGGGGGGGTGAGGCAGGATGCAAGAAGCTTAACAATTATAGCTTGGAACTGGATTAAGCAGGAAAACAATAGTTGCTCTATAAATGGAGGGATAGATATGAGGCTGTAGGAAATGTGAAGTAGGAACGAGATAAGGCCACCAAAGGGGGTTCCAAGGTGTACTCGACCCGACGATCCATTCTTAATTCGCATCCCATCTCCGAACAGCGAAGCAGATCGGGGAGATTCAAGTAAAACTTTGTTTCCTCTTAGGTCTATTAGAAGAGAGAAAGGGAGACCTTTGAGCTAAAACGCCTTCGCAAAACTCTTTTGGCGCGCGCTGCAATGATTTTTTGGGGGGAGTAAACTAGTCCCGGAAAATGATCGGAACTATTTTCTTTCACCGGGTGCCCAACCGCCCGCGTGAAAAATAGTGGGGCGAAAAATTGAGCAGGTGGGAAGGTTCATTAAATCGTGATGTCACTCGATCTCCCCCCTCCTCCCCTCCCGAGTTAAGACACAGTTTGGCTCTTGCCGTTCATTCCTTCCTTCCTTCCTTTCGAAGAAGGGACGGCTAATCCGCAAAGCAATTCTGCCCGGGGTGGGGCTTTACTTCCCTCCTCCCCACGCCTCCCCCCCCTCTTAGCGTGTTGCGTGCATGTGTGTGCCGCTTCCTCGAGCAAGCCTGCCTGTCTCCAAACACGGTGGGGCCAGTCATAACAAAACCCCGTCCCCCGGCAGGAGGAACGTTGGAAAACGGCTCCGCTCTTCCTTTAGCGCCGCGCCCGCAAAGGGTTAAGCGGCCGGTTGCTGCCTCCCGCTCTTTGCTAGACGGCGGAGTTTCGAGGAAGGCGCTGCGCGTTCGAGGCAGGCGACGCGGCGTGTGGCTGCTGCTGCTGTGGCAGCTACTCTCGCTTTCCGGCTCGTTTGGGAAAGACGTTCAACTGCGTTTTGCTTTAGGCCCCCGACCTCGATCCTCTCCGGAGAAATCTGCTGTTAGGGGGGTGAGGACGAGGGAGCAGAAGATTTCAAAGCGTAACCGGCCGGACTTGGCGTCGCGGGGCGCTGCGATTGAACGCCCGGGTGAGCATCTCCGGGGAATCGTCTTCTCACGCTCGCTCGGAGCGGTGTGTGATTATGAGGACGAGCTTGGCTCTTGCCAGCTATGGAACCAAGCCAGACCTTGGCGGTGATCCTTAAACCAGTACAATGCCGGGACTGAGCTGCTTCGCTCTCCACCTTCCTGACCCAGTGGGGTTTGGGTGAGATCCAACTGCAGACCAGCCGCGCGACCGTCTTCTCCACAGGTAAAACGGCCTTTTAAAAAAAAAAAAAAAAAAAAAGTCTCTCCCTTGCAGGGCTTCCTTTTCGCCCAACCGCTAAAAGAAAGATCGAGCGAGCGATCCAGAAATGGATAAGCCAAGAACTTAATGGAACGCGTTTCGCCAAAGTTTAAAGTTGCGGTTGGAGGAAAGACCGCGGGAAGGAGATTAGGTTCTCGAGAGCGCCTAGCAAAATCGAGGACTAGTCCACCCAGTAATAGGAGCGGGATGATGGTGCTGTGATGTTCTTGAAACCACTCACTCCCCGGTTTTTTTTTTTTTTACGTCACTGCCAATTTGATTTTCAGCATGGCAGGTTCAGTTCGGTAGGGGCAGTTCGGCACATTGAAAACACGCCACACGCCGGCATGGAGAGGATCGGTTTTCTCACTCAAAAATTCTTGTTTTCTTCCCTCCAAAAGATCCACGACAAGTGGATCCTGGCGTGTGTCGCTAGCTGAACTGTGTTTTCTATTCCTAAACGGCCGCGCTTTTCGCGAAGGAAGGGAAAGGGGTGTATCTGTTATACGCTTGTTGGTTGCGCCGCTGAAACCTGGCTGTACCCAGTCGCGGAGCAGCTTGGGTGAGTTTAAAAGGATTTTTGCAGGCAAGCAAAATGCATTGACTCAGAGAGAGGAGGACTACTGGTGGGAGGGGGGGATGTCTCCCTCCCTCTTTCTCCCCCTCCCTTATCCCATGTGTAAAGAAACAAAGACATTACAAACAAGGGGGAAGAATCAATCAATTGGAAAACAAGAGTGCTTCAATCCTTATGGGACCCTTTTACCTAATTAGCTCCTTCCTTTTTATCATTCCAATACCCTGCTGAAGAAAATAAACCCCTTTATTTTCCCCCATCAGTCACTCTTGTGTCTCGCGAATTATCTTTTTTTCCCCTCCGCAAAAGAGAGGTGCTGTGCTCCAGGGCGGCGATTAACCCCTTCCAGCCCTCCAGTCTTTCACGTTTCCGAGGTCCTGCGAACTAACAGACCGCAATTCGAGCCTCGATTCGGTGGCAGCTCTCAACGAGCAAGCTCGTATTGTAGAACGGAGTCGGGGCGGCTCCATTCGCTAAACTCCAGGCTCTCCCAGTGACAGAGCTGGGTGTAGCAGCTCGCCGAACCTCCCTCTCCCTCTCCCGGGCTCGGCAGCGCACCAGCTATTTCGTGTTTCCAAGAGGTGGGTCGGACCCTCGAGGGGGGCGGGGATTCCTCTAAACTGGTGAAGGCAACAGAACCTCTCTGGCACTCCGAGAACTACTTGTTGGGGCAGGCGGCCAGTATTAGTGATCGTGTCTGGCCCCAGAAGCTGTTCCAAGCCTGGCTGTGGGATTTTTTTTTAATGTAGGTGTTATAGTATTAGAAAGCCTTTCCCAGTCTAGTGCAGGTCAGAGGCTTGAACTGCTAGTCCATATAAGTCCTGAAGCAAATTGGGTCTATAGCAAGCTCCCTGCTTAGGCCCACAAAATACTAGCTACTCCTGGCCCACATGGTGATCACATTTTATTAGCCTAGAGTGAAGATACTGTCATTGTAACTGCCTGGCTAACTCTGCAAATGGCCATCGGTGAGTTGGCCAGCCATCTTCTCTTAGCCTCTATCTCTACATTTTTTCTTAGGCCACATTACTAACAGACTGAAAGTATCCTCTGACTTAGTTTGCTGTGTTGACCTGGGTGATGGGGGAGGCACTGAGAAGAATGGTGTGAACACCTACAAGAAGGAGAAAGACAAGTGAAAATATTGCCAACCATCTTTTAGTCCCAGTGTAAGTCTTCTGTTTAGACAGCATTGGCCATTTCCTCACTAATGATATATGGTGTCATTCAACCATTGCTGCACTGATCTAAGAATAATGAATACACAGTTATACAGCCACAATGATGTTACAATGATGATATAAATCAGCAGGGAAGAAATGGCTTGTCACAATAAAGATGTTTGACTGGTCTAGGCCTGCTGCAGTGCTGTCTCTTGGTTTGAGTTGCTTGCATCCTCTCCTTAAAGTAAGTTCTAGTATACTTAACAGAATTCTCTTCCATGGAATTCTTATGTTAGCTAACACCTAATATTTGAATATTTGAGAATTGCTGTAGGGTTGATTCTGTGATAGACATTTCCACTTGTTCTGATTGTTAGTTTGACATTGCAATTGCCAAATTATGGGAAAAAATGCACATAATATATCCCAAGCTTCCCTAGGTCCATCACATTAGAAGGCTAAATGATAGAGGTGAAGAGAAAAGGAATAGAAAAAATAGTGTGGGCCTTCCAATGCTTAAATAAAATTTCTCCAAAAGTTCAGACACATGACATCGATCAGTTCCCCCCCCCCTTTGATTTTCCACTACCCCGGCACTAAAAATAATGTAAAGCATGCAATCTGGATAACATATATTTTAAACAGCAAGATCTAGCAGGTACACCTCTCTTCTGCCTGCATTAGCACTATAGCTTTAAAATTGTGAGAATGTATTCATTTTTCTATTTAGAGAGTAGTTGTTGATTGAAAACCTGTCTCTCCTCCTCTTCCTCCCCCACTGGTTTACAGGTTTACTCAAAACAGTATCATTTAGGATATGATACTATCATAGGATATTTATTTTGCTATTGTTAGGCTCAAGAGTGACATGTAGAGATAATATATATTTGGTTTTCTGGAGATAACACAAAAGAGATTTCTGTCCCTCTAAGGACCTATCAGTCTATTCCCTGATTTCATTTTGCTAAATAAATTCAGAGAAGTGGAGAGGAGAGAACCATAGGCTCCTCAGAGTACAAATTCCCTTTGGTCGTGATTCTTTTCCCCAATTTCTCTACCGTAATTACTCTAATGTGGTTTTACCCTACTGGCTGCAAATCCCCTCTTTCAAAGTATAGTCTTAAAGAAGTGAAGTTTCAATTCCTTCCTGGTCTATCAAAATTATGGTAAAATTAACTGGTAGTGACTTGCATTTTGGGAGGTGAGGTGATTTTAAAACGTTAACAACACCAAGAAACTTCTAGGTTCTCTTCAGCCAAGATTTTCTGAGCAGGTGGAAGGCCCTTTCTTTAGCCAAGGAATCTCGGTTGGGTCAATTAAAGCCCTTACCATAGGCAAGCGCGCACTCGACGGCGCTCCCGTCCGCAAATAAGGGGCAAAGCCGAGAAGTTAAAAGGCAAAAAAGCTCTGAGATACTACTCAATGCTGCCTCCCGTATTCTATCTGAAAAATGAGCCTACCACAAAATAAAAATGAATAAAATGGGCGGAGAGAAACTAATCCGGCCAGAAACGCCTCTATGGAATGAAGGAGGTTGTTTTTTTTTTGTTTTTTTTTTTTTTTTTGGCGAAGGGTGGGTTATAGGTACTTTTGTTCATTCTTCTTTTTTTTTTTTAAAGGATCTTAAACCTCTTGGAAAGCTTTCAGGTTACGGCCCTGCCTTCCGACATGCATTCTTTACACTAGAAACGTGGGAGGGACTCCAGGAGAGCGAGAGAGGCGGAGAGCGCGAGATGGCTATCAGCTGAATTCATTACTGTAAACATCTCCCCGGGGTATCAAGCGAGAAAAAGGGGGAGGGCGCAGCTTCCATTAGCTGGGAATAGTCGGATCCGGGACCTCATTACGCCGAAGATCAACCTGCGAAGGAGCCGCTCTCCCAGGGCGGGCTCCGAGACTTTTGCGAAAAAGAGGCGCGGGGGGGGGGTTTTCCTCAGACACGCTTCCCGCGCCACACGCCTTTGCAAAGTGCCCGGCGCTTCTCGTGATTTGCTCAGGGTCTCCGCTTACTTGGGTGATCCGATCTCCGAAGACCCGGAGAAAAAAAAGCTCCGCGGCAGCCTCGCGCCTCCTCTCGGCGTCTCTTTTCCTTTTGCCTGGACTTTGTTGGGGTGGGGGTGGAGGGGAGATTCGACGCCTCTTTCGCGCGCTCCCCGCTGCTTCCCCCCCCTTTCCCTCTTCCCCCCCACCCCCCCTCGCAACCGGGAGGTGGGAAAAGAGGCGTGTGCGCGCGCGTGTGCTTGCGCCTGCCCGGGCATTCTTGGGGATGCTGGAGTCCCAGGCTTCGCGTTGGAGGAGAAAGGGGGAGGATGTGGTCGCTGCCTCGTAAGAGAGCGAGGCGAAGAAAAGGAAAGGAAGCGCTCCGCAGAGCCGGAGCTGGCCGCAGCGGCACCGGAGGCAAGCGCCACCAGCCCTCGGGGGAGAACAAGAAGAAGAGGAGGAGGAGGAGGAGATTAGGGCGCCGAGGTCGGGATCCTGCCTGTTTTTCTAAGCTGCAGTCGATCCTCCTGCACAAGGTAGCCCGAAAGAAACCCGCGGCTGCTGCCAAAGTTTGCTCTGTGCTGCTCGGCCACAAGCGCCCGGGGGATTATATAAGCATCGGAATCGGAGGTGGACTCTTAAACCCAGACCTGCCAGGTAGAGTTGAGTGTCTCTTCTGTCTTCTCCTTTCAGCGATTTCTCCTTCACTTCAGGCAGGTTGATTCTTTCGCCAGACTATTTACAACAGAGCGCGTCCCCCCCCATCCTCCCAGCCCCCTAGTGAACGAATGGCTGGTGGGCACAAGATTACCGCTTCGTTTCATCAGAAAAGACGTTTTTGCGTGTGTGAAAGAGTGACCTTACACGTAGGCAGAACCAGTTGTCTGACAACTGGAAGAACTGGCGGCCATTCGAAGCTAGACTAATTCCCTGTTTTTCTTAACCAGAATGTGAGAACCCAGGTGGATGTAGGTAGAAGCATGCTTGCTAAATTCTCCCCCCCCTTTTTTTTTTATTTCCCTGGGCCATTTACCACCCCACAACTTGTGATACTAGGCTCCAAGGCTGCATCTTGAATGGCTGGGAATATTTCCCAGAATGATGATGGTGGGTGGTGGGTGGGAGAGAGGGAGAAGTTGCAAGGAAGGAACAAATGGAATAGTTTCAAGCCCTAAGAAGAGATCTAGGCTTCAAAACTGACAGGCTTTATGAGATTCCAATGAAAAGGGATGCAGGAACGATTT